ATAACTGAACCACAAATATAGTGTACATTCAAGAAGATTATGGGAAACATTTGTATACTATATCTTCTCAGGGAAATTGCGCTCTGATGATATCGCAACACTGTATAAGTTGTATTATTCCATATAAATACAAAATTTAGATTAGATTTCGCGGGTTAAATTTGTTTATGTCACAGATCACTTAAATTTATGTATTTAATTGTTGGCCAAGAAAAGAGGTTCACTGTTCACTTATACTGACGAAGAAAACAACTCTTTAGAATTTTTACATTTTCTCTGTTCCGACAACAGTTGCCTGTTTACTACAGAGTAATAACGTTTAAGAGTTTTGGTACCATTCATTTGTTGTTTAAGTTGTCTATAAAAAGTTGTGGAATGTCGAAAAGTAATCTTTTTGCGAGGCTTCTTGTTGTTTCCCATTTTACACACAAATGCACTGTAGATAATTTTAAGAACAAAGTAATTTGCGCACAGATCGACGACACTTTGGTAGTTTTTTCTTTAATGTAAAGGCGGACAATGTAGAAAGCAGGCCACTAATAGGCAACGGTTACTTCATTGTGAATTTTAAAGGTAATAGTAACTTTGAAGTGGCTTTTGTTACACGCAGTATATGGAAATCACTTCAGAGAGCGGCAAAAACGTTGCAAGAACTACTGCAGTTATACAATCAAGTGCCGCCAATTTAAAGATATATTTATGGTTCCCAAAACGTTACTAAAACTATCAAACCCACTTTAAAATTAGTGCCACTTCTAGGTGGTATTAAGTGATATGATTTGGTTGCCGTAACTACCATTTTCCACATTTCAGTTTGTTCAACTTTAAAGTGATCCCGCTTAGTGGCTATAACGTTTCAAACACCTTCAGATGCAACTAAATAATATAAAACTTTCAAATGATTCCCAGTGGTGAAATACACGTGGCTACAACTGGGAAAATAAAGTTATTCTCACTATATAGGGGTACATTTAGTGATTATAACGTAATTAATACTTAATCGAAGTAGCGATATAAGTTTCTGTTACTATAATGCTACTTGGGTATTGACGTGGAAATGGAATCGACCCTCGTGTTTGGCAGCAAACCTCATCATTTCTTCTTCAACTATTGCCATCTTCAGCTCTCCATAAATGTAATTGTTTCGTTAAAATCAATGTATACCAACTATGCTTCTTAGAACTTTATATTAAAAAATGTTATTATGTTGTCATATCCACATAGCTGTAAGTCATGAATTTATACTGGTTTTAGCATTTATTTATAAATCAAGAGTTTTATTGTAAACATTGAGAGCTTGTATTTTTTTCCAATATCGTATTTGGAATATAAACTTAAGGCTTTTATGTGCTTTTTCCGTTCAAGTCTTACATCTAGGTTCATTTGTAGGTATTTAGCCCAATTGTGATGCAGAATATTAACATTGATTTTTTTTTTACAAAATATCTCTTATGGTTAAATATTTGCGTGGAGCTCGAGGTAAAAATAATCTGGACTTCGAAAAATAATTTCGAGAATAACTACTGGTATTGAAAAATAAATTTAATTACTTTTACAAAAAACAAAACCATGTTAA